GGTTCACACTTTGGATACTCGCGCAGGGCGTGCACACCCTTGTCAGCAATGGATGTGTTTATATTATAAGTCTCAGGAAGCTCCAGAGCGAAGTGAGGGATGAGAGAGGTCTACGCACACAGGACTGACCCCTGCTCCTGTGCAGACTAGTGCACCTAAAAGACCCACCTTGCTCAGCTCTGATTGGATAACACAGTGTTTTGAATTCATTTGATTTGTTGAGTCCTGTTTAGACTGAGCGGCTTTAACGAGACCGCAGCAGAAAACAACTAGAGTTACAGTTTTTTGTTTTCTTTTTCTAATTACAGAAGACAGACATCTGTCCTGGCCAAGTAAAATGACAGAAATCTGTTGTGGCGACGGAGAACTTGAAGCCCTGAAATGAGCTGAGATGTGAGAACTGAGCTCTTCTACCAGGTTATGGAGAAACCAAAGTTGAACAGATGTGTGACCAATGCCCTCGTCTGTACCTCTACAGACATCTCTAGACAGAGCCAGCAGGAGCAGTTCATTCAGATAAAACAGAACTCTTATCCCCATCATGACCAGGAGTTCTGATGGACACATTCCAGCATCTGTTTGATTGTCAACATGTGAAATGGTCTCAGTGCTCCACAGGAATGCAGGTCAGCCTCCACAGGGTGAAACGGGGTGCTTTAAGCATAACCCACTGCTGGACTCTGCCGGGGAGACCATGCACATGAGCAAAGGCGTAGGTGAGCCACTGTTTGATATCATGCAGAAGAAGACTGTGCCCAGTTTTCAGACCTTTCCCGGGACTTCTGCATATGATTGTCCAGCACAGACTTGAAATGTTCATCCAGACTGACGGCCTCATGGATGGAGGATGAGAGGTGGAGTCACATGTTCCTCTGTAGCAGTCTGCCAGGTAGTTGAAGAAATGTATTGGGGTTTGTTTACTTACTGATTTTTAAAAGCAACACACATTCTGTAGTTTTTCTTAGGTGAAACATGGTATAGTTTTATAAACTTTTGTGTTATTATTTCTATGATTAAATTGATGATTTTATGTACAGACTGGTCTGGATGATATGGTCAACAAGAGTAGGAAATATATCAGTAGCTACATGCCTGAACACATAGTTACTGAATGTAAAAGAAACATTAACTGGAATGGAATTAAGTTGAGAGGATTTGACCCCGGAGCAGAAAAGTGTGACCCCCCCAGTGGTGTCAAAATTAGTAGGCAGGGTCAGTTATTGAAGAAGTTGTTATAAGTAACAATACTTAAATTTCATATTCACAAATGTAAATTTTCGTCATCTTCACCATTTTTTCCAGGTTGAAGACATAGAATTATACAGTATTTATGCACTCTCTCTAAAAGTACTAAAAAAACAACAAAACAAAAACAAAMAAAAAAAAAACCCTATAAACACAATTGAATGTTGTAGCATTGTTGTGAATGTATTTATTTTATGATTTTTTTAAATGTACTAAATGTAGAAACCTATCCCCCTGATATAGTTGATTTTGGTTTTATTGCYCCTTGTTCTTCTGTTCTGTTTCTTTCTTGGCTGAATGCACGCAGAGACAAGCATTAAACCTACATTTCAGCCCAGCGCTGTTGTGGTTGTAAGAACTCTCTTCACATTCAAACATTCAATTATTGGTGTACTCCATCTGGTTCGGAAAACGTAACGAAGTAAACATGACGTTTTAATATCTTTTCATGGTCATGGCTGAGCTCACAGCTGATGAAGCACACAGGGTAGTGTTAGCGTTATAAGAAGTTGTCTTTATTCTTTGAAGGGATTGTGCATGGCCTTTGCTGTTTTTCTGCAGCTGTCATGTGAGGCTGCAACCTTCTACCAGGCCTCACAAGGGAGGGGAATCTTGTGGCTCCAGGACAGTGAAACTAGTTTGCTGTGATTTAGATCTCGTGGAGCACCAATTACAGGTAGAGTACGGGTAGTCACAGACATCAGGGCACTCACACAATGACGACAAACTTGTCTCCAGCCCATCCATCTGGAGAGGGGTGGGGGTAGGGCAACTGCATGTTTCCTTGGCAGCGGTGGAAATGTTAGATTTCCTCTTGCATCCAAGATGTCAACAGGCTTGTCCAGCGGGCAGTGGTCCACCACAGTAGAGCTTCTCAGGATTGCCCCATGTTGTCATTCCTCCAAAACAGGCTTAGGGCCAAACCCATGTTCTCTGTGCCAAGGCAGCCCTTCATAACTCATAATGTATCAACTCCAACAGGTGAATGGTTCTGCTGGACATTTCTGTCCTGAACGTAGCTTTTGTTGGCTGAAGAAAACATAGGAGCTGATTATCTCAGTGTATATAGTAGGGTTGGACATGATCGTATCGTGTGCAATTAATCGTCAGAAAAACATTAATCGATTATTTTTTGGCACTTGACAATTAATACGATTAATGCCACCAGGCAGATTGACTGGATATTTCCCTGGTTGGTCTGCTCGATGCTCCTCTCCGCTTCAAATACGTATGACGAACATTTAAAAAAAAAATCTGTAATTTATTTATCTATCAACACAATTTAAAATTTGATGTATAGCCCGAAGTCTGTATTTTTGACAATTTGGAACAGATTTTTATGAAGAGCAAAAATTTCCCACTAAATTGGTCATGTGACTAGGGCATAAGGGTGTCCAGGGACTCCAGGGGATTAATTGTGAAATTAATCGTTATCGGCTAAATACCACAATTAATCGTGATTAATTTTTTTGCCAATATCGCCCAACCCTAGTATATAGACTAAGTTGAGACCCACCCAGCAGGTGGGCATCGACTCTGCTAAACCCAGAGTTAGATAATCTCTGTGATATATGAAGCAGAACTGGTTCAAGTTAAGAACCCATTAATCCCATTAAACATCACTTCCAGTGAATGTTAGATCCTCCAGTTTTCTGAGTTTCAGTAGCAGATCAAAGAGCAGACACATCACAGGGTTGTAAGATTATTCCTGTCAGCAGATGTCTTTAGGCAACCAGCTTATTTTATAAATATTGTTTTAAACAACAGACGGTGGTTTGAAAACTCGATTTCCAATCATTTGAGAACAGGAGTTAGACACAGCAAGTTCTCTAAACACCAGCTGGTCAGATTCAAAGAACCAAAAATGTTTCTATAGATAAAAGTGACGCTTGTGAATTATACTGAAACCTTTTTAGACTTGTGTACCCTCAGACATTTTGTCATACCACTACCCCAACAGTCAAGGCCCGATTAACCATATGGGCAATTGCCCAGGGGCCCACRTCTCCAAAAGGGCACTGGACAGTGAAGGCACGAACATACGGATGCGGGATATGCGTGGGACATGTCTCTCCGCACTTCCTGCATCTGCACTTTATGTCCCCCGCACTTTTCTCAGACGTTACAGCTGTTTTATCCATTATTAACATGTGGCAATGCGTTTTCCCGAGTCGGCTACAAACACAATGATTCTCCAAAACTGTAAATGAAAATTATTTAACTACCTGTAATGTTTAATCATCAGGCATTTTATTATTTTCAACTCACAATAAACAAAGATTAAAAGCGTTGCCTTGAAAGTGAATAAATAATTGTGTGCAGGAAGCAGCAGCGTCCAAAATACATCAGAAACTCGAATAAATGAGAAAATTCTGAGATTCAATAGGGCCCTACAAATCTGTCCATTTTTTTTTGTTTTGTTTTACACATCTGGGAATTTTTTTCATGTACCCTCTGTAATATACTCGCATACCCCTCGTCAGGGATCACTGTTTTGAAATATGGCGCTCATATTTTGATTGGTTATTGGTCTCCTGGTGAAAGCAGTTCTTTCAAACGTGACATAGCCTTTCTCCCCACCCCACCCCCACAGAGCCCAACACCACAGAACAACTAGTTCATCTGTAGAAAAAGTAGGTTGCCTTTATTAGAAGCTGGGAAACCAAAACATTATCAACATCATTAATAAGTTTTTCCCTTAAGACCACAATGTTGTGACTGCCTTTATCATTATTATCATCATCATCACCGCTTTTTCCACAACATGCAAAAAGACTGAAGAACTCTTGTTCACATTACGGACAAAAGCTTCACTGCTGGGTCTCTGTAGAAATCACAATAACATCATCAGAACAACTGAAGGTAGATTTAAAACACAAAAGTGACAGAAAAGTTGAAGGATGAATGAAGAAGGACAAGTCCTAATCTAGATCAGAAGAACTTGGTTCAGGCCCTCGGTGAGTCTGATCCTGCAGCTAACAGCTCCCAGAGCTTCAGCTTGGTAGAAAAACCCACCGCTGGGGGGTCAGAAGGTTTCTGTTCATCTGCAGTGTTAACAAAATCTTTCATCAACCCTGGAATGGTTTCAGTCAAACTGAAAGTAGTCACTAAGTTGTAGCGGTTTTCCAGCACACACACAGTGAGCTCAGGTCTGGTGTGGTGGTAGCTGAGAGTCATCCACAACACATGGAGCTAACAAAGCTCATTTTATTTCAAAGGATGGACCAAAAAGGCCACGGCTGTCCAGTCATCAGAACAGAGGAAAACATCTAAATCAGCTGTTCTTGATTAAAACCATGAAGGAACCAACTCAGACCCTGCATGATGAAAAGCTAAGCTGTTGAGGTGAGAACAAAACAATCAAATGTGCTTCTGGATCAAAGTTCAGTTTCCAGAGTCCTGTTCAGTTTAAAGTTTTACTGCAGTCTCAACATGAAAACACCTCACCAAGACTGCAACAAAAACATATTATTTTACTTGTTTTTGTTTGTTTTGACATCAAAAACCACTACAAAAAGGCTAATCTCACGAGTGCTGCACCTGATCTTCGACTCACAAATTCTGAGATCGTCAATGGCTATGGAGGGTCAGCAGGTCATTCAGACGCTTCCAGGTCTACGACCTGCTGCTCGTAGCCTGAAATGTGTAGGACTTGTTACATTCTCAGGCCTTCAGTCATGTCAAGAGCCACAAGTCAAACTCAAGCCAAAGAAAATTAAGGCAATAAACAGATGAAATGCCACAGGTACACCAAGCTGCCTATTTCAGTCTGAGCTACAGGACTGCAGGACGATGGAGCACTACAGGTGAGCAACAAAAAATCTCAAACAACTGAACGGATATGAAGACCAACAGGGACCATTAAAGGGACAGTCCGGTCCATTCTGATGTCATATCAGCCATGGAGCACAGCACGAGCCAATACAGAACACTTCATCTGATAATAACAAACTAGGGATGCACGATATGAAAATTTCAGCCAATATCGATATCAGATAACTTATATTACACAAACACAAATATATACACACATCATTTTTCAATAATGTAAATAACAAGCAGACTGCTGACATGGCTCTCTACTTCTGTGTAGCGTCACTAACACAATCAGATACCACTCAACCTTTTCCCCTCCCAAAACAGAAACACTAAAAGCAACAAGCAGGAAATCAAATGTTGAATGTTAATATCAGTTTTACTTATCATAACCATATGCTAAAAAATGACCAACATCAGCCGATACCAATGTTAATACAGACATATTGCGCATCTCTACAATAAAGCTTTATTTGTTTACATATTTGTTGAGGTTGTGTGAGTTAAAAGATGTTGCTGAGAGTAGAGCCAGTATCTGAGCAGGTTCAACCTGAGCTAATCGTTTGATTGTTGATACTTCAGTTAGCCTTTAGCCTAGCCTGGAGGAAGACTGTTGCTCATTTCTCCTCCTCACTGATGATTGACTGACTGAACATCACCTCAGGATCAGACTGTCCCTTTGAAGCTGATGGAAAAGAGGGAGGGGTGGGTGTGCAGAGGGGGGAGGGCCGGTCCAACTACCACCAGAACAGACTGGATAGGGTCAGCTTTGTTTCTTTAAAACCAGGATACATTTTATTTATTTTTCTTAAAAAACAAGCATTACAAAAAAAAAAAAAAAAAGAAAAAAAAAGTCTGAAAATGGAACTAGAACACTGAACCAACAAGAGAAAAGAAAAGAAAAACATTCATTTTTTAGCTCTCAAAACAACAGAAACATATCTCCTCTTGCATCTCTTAAAACCAGAATTTGGAGGTGCCTGGCTCAATGGGCTGGGTGTCGGGGCGCTGTGGTCGTGCAGAGAGGGGTTTATGTTCAGTTTGAGTACGAGAAAAAAACAAAACAAGCGGAGAAAAAAAACTAAAAATTAAACCCAAAAAAAGAAAAGCAGCTGATGGGCAGCAACAAGAGTAGATAGAAACGTTAACATTTAGAATCAAAGCTGAAAGCCACGACGGTTCTTTGAAAACAGAAGCGTTAGAGCTCCAGGGTCTGACGGAGACACGAGCTGCGTTAAATAAAAGAATAATTTAAAAGCGCCGAGTAGCATGAGAGTATGAAGGCTTYTGCTCTGCAGTGACTTGCGTGAAATACAGCGCTTCGCTTACAGATWCCAAACTCAGCCAGTGATGCCCCGAAGACAGGAAGGAAGAAGTTCTCGAAGAGTAAATGATGATGTCACTGCTCTGCTCTCCTGTAGGACGGACGCTCACTGACACTGAAAACTTCAACCGTTCCACAGAAAGGATGGAGACAGGACACGAACAGGAAGCAGAGAAACTCCAAACCATTGCGCCAGGCCACCAGGAGGGGGGAGTACAAAATTAAAATAAAAAATTTAAACCTTAAATGCAGAGGGGAGAAAAAAACACATTGAAAGAGAGAGAGAGAGAGNGAGAGAGAGAGAGAGAGAGAGAGAGAGAGAGAGAGAGAGAGAGAGAGAGAGAGAGAGATGTTGAGGATGAGAGGAGTAACATCTTCTAATCTTCTCCAGAGGGTGCCTCTTCTTCTGAGCCATTTTCTTCCTCTTCATCCTCCTCCTCCTCCTCCTCTCCTCCTGCAGACTCTTTTGCCGACTTGGGGGCAGGAGAAGTCTCCTTCTTCTCTGCTTCTTCCTCTTCCTCCTCCAGGGGGCTCTCAGGCTCCTGCTCTTCCTCCTCCTCCTCCTCTTCCTCCTCCTCTTTGGGTGAGCTCTTCTCCATGGTCTTGGTGCTGGGACGTCCCTTGCCCTTTCCTTTCATGGGGCTGGGGGTGACTGGGAGCAGAGCAGACAGAATGAGGATGGTGACAAGGCAGAGAACATCTTGACTGCTGAGCTCTGCTGAAGACCACAACTTCTGCTTCAGACCCTCAGAGTGACTTTATTAACGTCACCTGAGTAAAGGCCCTGTCACACTAGACAACTTATGCCAACTTATGAAAAGTTTTTTTTATGTCTAAACTGCTAATAAAAGTAATATATTTGATCAGTTTGTTAGAATTACATTATTTACATGCCAAAAAAAAGCTTCCTGTTGATTTTTTCAATTCCAGCTTCAACGTAGCCAATACAACCTCTTTAAAATGTTCATAAATATGCCACGGTCATTAATGACGTATTTCCAGTAAAATTCTTGCCACGCTCCTCCCTTCCATTCCCTGCGTACTGCCTGTGTTTTTAGCGTGAGCTCCTAGTACTAGTCCGTGAAAAAGTCACACAAGTTAAAGCATCTGTGATCTACTGGTATAAAACGTGAGTTCTGTTGTGTCCACTAAGCAGCAGGTACGATCGAGTAGTTAGTTTTTCTCTTTTCCTTTAGATGAGGAGGTGACAGCAGCGGATCATAGCATTACAGGGAAAACTTATACGCTTGTGTTTGTAATCTGCATTTCTAACCTGAGGATATTCAAGAGCCAGCATCAGAAATGAGAAGACGGAGGTTACAAAAGGGAAATGTACATTTATCCCCTTTTACTGCCAAGACGAGACAGGAAAGACCGCCTCTACACGACAACTAGCAGGAAGCTAACACAGCAGCCGGTACAAAGGTAGGTGTGCGCGCATTTGTGTTATATGAAATGTTTTTATGCGACTTTGTCATGAGTTTTATGCAAAAGTAAAAACTTGTTAGTGTATATTACAGCGTAGACTAAAGCTGAGTGACGAATGCCTCCCCCTTCCCCGAGCACCGAGAGCAGCAGAACCTCCGCCTGATAATCATTACGTTTTCAGTTCAATAACGTCGGGGAAAACGATCCAAACCAAACAAGTAGCCCATCAATTTAAAGCCCAGACTCTGCTCTTTCCAACAATGTGTGTCACAGCTCAGACTAAAGCTGAGTGACGAATGCCTCCCCCTTCCCCGAGCACCGAGAGCAGCAGAACCTCCGCCTGACAATCATTACGTTTTCAGTTCAATAACGTCGGGGAAAATGATCCAAACCAAACAAGTAGCCCATCAATTTAAAGCCCAGACTCTGCTCTTTCCAACAATGTGTGTCACAGCTCTACGTGAAAAATTCACAGAACAAGCAGCCACAGAATAGCAAAAAAGGCTAAATTCTGGAACCATAAACAKGAACGTCCTTCCTTTGTTTTTATGTCTTTAATCCACTTTGGAGTGATTTTTTCCCACTTGGCTGGACCTGTACGTCTCCTGTGTTTATGTTGGTACATGTAATCTGCTAATTCTGTACTGTGGAGATCATTAAGAGTCGTCGGGTGAAAAAATCTTTCACTAACACTGTGTTGACCACAAACCGGAAGTTTTGGGAGTGGCATCAAGTACTGGGCTGGATATCCGTGGCATATAGGCTATTTGCATAAGTTGTCTAGTGTGACAGTAATTTTCTAATTTAATACATACTTTTGTAGTTATTACTTACTTAAGCCTTGCTGTGATGAGATTAGTTTTACCTGTGGACCCCATGCTGTCTGTAATAATTGCAGAGACTGTCTGTGTTAATCCCGACAAGGAGCAAAATCAGATGCAAATGGTGTCACTGTGCAGCAAGAATAATACATTTTCTGTTTGTAGCCCTCTGGCTGATGCTGAGTGTTGAGTTGTGGCTGTAGCACAGTGCAGGCTCACGTTTTGTGTACACGCACAGGGCGCGCACACCCTCGCCGTGTTCAACGCGTTCACTAACCAGGATTCAATATCACATTCCAAAGATGTCTGTAAATTTCAGGAAAATCTCAGGCTTCGTTTATCCCGTGCAAATGCGCCACATAAACAGAGGTCGGGGAGTAATTTATTTATTACACTGTGTCCCCAGATAATGCTTATCTTGTGTGAATAGGGCTTTACTCTTGTAGTTATAGCATATTTACACTAGTAATTATTACATATTTACACTTGTAGTTATTAAATATTTACTCTTTTAATATTTACATCTTTACTCTTGTAATTAATGCATCTTTACTCTTGTAATACATATTTACTCTTGTAATTAATGCATATTTACTCTTGTAATTAATGCATATTTACTCTTGTAATTAATGCATATTTACTCTTGTAATTAATGCATATTTACTCTTGTAATTAATACATATTTACTCTTGTAATTAATACATATTTACTCNATACATATTTACTCTTGTAATTAATACATATTTACTCTTGTAATTAATACATATTTACTCTTGTAATTAATACATATTTACTCTTGTAGTTATTAAATATTTACTCTTGTAGTTATTACTGATTTGCTCATGTTGACCTGATATAAAACCACATTTGGAAATTTGAGTTGGGTGTGCAGTAATCTGTCTGCAGGGGGCACCTGTGAGCTCACCGATTCTTCTGCTGTGTTCAAGTAACTGAACCGGAACATCAGCTAAAAGAATTAAAAGTGAAGAAGCTCTGAATCATATATTAAGGTTTGGCSCTGACTGCTCTTCGAAGGTTCTATATTTTTCTAAAATTGTTCTAAAAACTGGACTTTGACCTGCACTAAGGTTTTTTTTTTTTACACCTGAACTACTGAGAGGTAATTCCTAAGCAGCAGAGTTCACAGGCCTCCATGTTTTCTGGTTAGTTAATATTAACTAACAAAGCTTTGAAGTTGACAAATACTGATTCAGGAATGTGGATCAGGAGAGTCCAGTCAAAAGCTGCTCCTTCTAGACCATCTGGCTGTTCTTTAAGAAGTGTATGTGTCTCTGCAGTAAAGTGTATTAGTACTGTGGTACACATTATCAGAATTGATTCCTGATTTCGGTATGCTAGGAATGTTTTACTTAGTGAATCAGGTCCTGCACAAAGAACTGTATTTTCACAAGGTTTAGGAATCTTTAGGTGGTAAATAATGCTGTTTTCCCTCACATGATAAGAAACATGTTTATAAACAATGTGTTTGTAAAGACCAAAGAGCTGAATAAAGTTTAGGATACCTGTGGCCTTTAGTCTGGGTTTGGGGCTCTTCTTCTCTTTCTTGTCTGTCCGACCCCGTCGGATCACCTTCTTGCCTTTCTTCTTCGATTGGCCGTAGTCGCTGTCATCGTCATCCTCCACCATGAAGTCTTCGTCGCTGCCGGACTCATCAGCTGTGCGTGAAAACAAAGTGAGTGGTTTTCTCACACACCACACGGCAGTTTAAATGAAGCATTTTTCTTTATTAAGATCCTGCTCTTAGAACCAAACAGCCAACCAGGTACTAAGTTCAGGTCAGGTGTGTCACTGAGCTCACAGCACTGAGTCGTACTTACGGTCCAAGTAAGTCTCCTCCTGGTCTTCGTGCTCCTCATCCTCACTGCCTCCGTCTCCCAAAAGGATCTCTCTCTGTTTGGACACTGCCTTGGAGGCCGCCTGCCTCACGGTACGCTTCCGACTCACTTCCTTGTCATCGTCACTGTCATCTGTACACACGTACATGCACACGCACACACACGATTAACTAATTCCATCTGGAAAAAGATGAAGATTACCAGGATAGATACAGGTCTGTCAGCTGGCTCTGCTACATTTTGTCATCCATGTGAATGTGTATGGATGAATAATGTAAAGCCTCTGAGTGTATAGTAAAGCACTAAATAAGACCAATGTGTTATTATTAATTAATTTTAATGTTATTTTAAGACACCCCCAGCCTCCATGTAAATAAATTAACTAATATGTCAATTAAATCAATCCTGATGTTTCTGAAGTGTTGACACATTGATTCACATAATTCACATCTTACTGCTGTGTTTGAACATTTATTAACCCTTTATTATGAAACATGGAACTATGAAGCAACCAACAGGAAGTATGTAATTTGAAGTAAAACTGATAGTAAAGACCCTCATTAGTTCTGTGTAAAACCTTAATCTACACAATAAGCAACAGACAGGAGAAAACTAATGAAAGATGACTAATTCTTGATTTATTATAAACTATTCGAYCATATAAAACCAGAGGAAGGTGGGGTTACCTGCAGCCCGTTTTCTCTTTGGGCCCCTCTTCACTGGCTTTTCCACCTTGGCTTTCTTTCCCTTTTTCCCTCTTTCCTCTTCATAGTCACTTCCTCCATCTTCATCCTCCTCCTCTCCAAACTCATTGTCTTCCTCATCGCTGCCTAAATCATCTGCAGAAGACACCGAGGCAGTCAGAGGAGTGGCAGGTACAGACAGACGTGTCGTCTTCAACACACTTACCTGCTGAATCATTTTTAGCTTTGGAGAGCTTCTCATCAGAGTCCTCACTGGAAGAAGAGATAGAGGAAACATGAGACGAGGTGTGAGAGCTGTGGACACTCAGGRACTCACTGCTCTCTCTAACAGTTGTCATAAAATGAGAACAAAAAGTACTAACGATAAATACAATATCTAATGAAAACCCCAGCTCCTCCTTTTCTCCAAGTTTTAATGAAACTTTTCTTAAATTATTTAAATCTTGTGCAGTTTAACTCTTGACATTTTTTTAAGTGAGTGCACGTTTCTGCTAGAGGATGATCTGATCTGAGTTCAGACCCATAAAAACTGAACAAGAACCATCCAGACACCACTCAGTGTGACTGTAGTGTAAAACTGAACAGGAGCCAAACCCAGGACAGGAACCAGGACCATCTGCACCCACCTGTCCTCCTGGGAGTTCTTCGAGCGCTTGTGCTTGGGCTCACGAGGGGCTGTGCGCACCTTCTTCGGCTTATCCTCGTTATACTCCTCATCTGCAGAAGGAAGTTATCAGATCTCAAAAAGGGAATATTTTACTGACAACATTTGCAAAACAGTCTCCAGGATGTCTCCAAGAGTTCTCAATGTCCAGAACGTSACAAGACTGCAAGTCTTGAAGCTAAATGACTCCATGACGTTCTTCAGGTTGTTCCTCTGCTGCATTAGTGAAGAAATGTTGGAGGAGGGTTCTGAGCACAAACACAGTGCTGCTGGGTCCAGTTCTGTTCCTCTGTTCCCTAGCTTCCTTCTGGTGTTTTAAACTAGATTTTAAAGGTTTCTTACAGAAAGGATCTTTTTATTTAACTGTAGCATGAGGAGAAATACATGGAGGTGGATTTAAATCATCAGAACAGAACCTGACTGTGTCTTAATGTCCTGCTTTWCTAGATTTATTTGACTGTTTTAAACACATTTCAGTGTGCAGATTAGGTCAACAGAGAAATAATGAGATTAGGGCTGCACAATTTTAGGAAAACCTGTGGTGTGCCATAACAGAACTTAATATAGTGATGATATGACTTGCAATAAATAAACAAAAACACAAGTATGTAAAGTTTGTCTTTCAGCTCTGGGTTCAGGACAAAAAAAAAAGGATCCAGCATGATTTTTTTATAAACATGAAGATCCATCCAACATGACACAAAGGGCTCCATTTGATTGGTAACATRTTTCAAGTTTCCGAGTGACAAAACTCATAAATGCAAACATGTGAGCTGACCATTTACTGCAGGTTTTTTGTGTTATGCGTATTGCACATGTTATCGCGATAATGATAAATTTTTGATATATTGTGCAGCCCTAAATTACATTTACTTAAATTATTACCTTTTCAGCTCAACAGTAACCTTAGGATAATTAATTTTCAGACTTTTATTACACAAAGATTCATTTATTTATTTGTCACGCTAGAGCTGGCAATTTAAATCTATATATTCTAATTTATTGTAATTTGAAATTCCTATGTTTACATTTCATCCTGTAGCAGACTAAACATGTTCACTGGTAAAGATACAAACAAGTGTGCATTTTCATTATTGGAGAAAAATGAGCTGAGTTGGATGATTAGTGAATAGATTAAACTAAATAAAGTTGTTAGTGGCAGACATAGATRCTTTAGTATTTCTTTACTGACTCACTTTTAAATGAATTTATCAGAAAATAMAAGACATGGTTTAATAAAGTGGAAACATTTGCTCACCTGCATCATCAGACTCATTGAATTGTGAATAGTTCACCACTTTCCTGTTCCTGTGAAAACACACASATTACAAATTAACTTTAAATGCTTCATCTGATTCCAGACAGTTTACACTGCATTACACTGAGCAGGAAGAGAGTTATTATGTCAGGTCCAGAGACAGGCTGGACCAGAAATTACCAACTCAAGTTTTTAGACCCAGCTGGACCAAGCGAGTGTAGGTCAGGTAATTTTCAAGAACTGGGGTCTCATTTATAAAGGATTGCGTGGAAACCATATTAAAAGTGAACGTACGGCCAAAAGGTGGAAATGGCGTACGCCAAAAAATATTCAGATTTATAAAACCGTATGTACGCATGTTTCTGCGCACCTTTCCTTTATAAAACACAGC